AGTGATTCATACTGAAACACGGTTACTAAAAAAAAGTAACATTTACTGTGTGCATTCCCCTGTGTTTTTAGCAAACACAGTATGTATGATATTGAGTTATGTGTTATAATACATAAAATAAGATAAGGCCACACCGACTTAATTTTATGGATGACATCCGCGCGCGCATTAGTTTTCGCCTGTTCTCAAAAAAAAAAATCTCCGAGGACGAGTCTCCACAGATCGGTTTTCTGTCCGGAACTTGCCGACTCATATTGTCGCAAAGCGCCGACTTGTCGTAAAACTCGTTTTGGATTACCTCAGAACCAAACTACACACAGTTAGATGCGCGTTACGTAAAGCGCAAAGACCTATGAAAGGAGATTGCCTCAAAACATGCCAATTTGTCATAAATGATCCAACATGGCGACCACACCACCAAAATATGTGAGCATAAAACGGAGGGATTGCTGTCGACTGGTACGCAATTGACGTTGGCCAGGGAGATGTGACGTTTACACAGCTATACGAGAGATCGGTAGCGGCAAGCGAGTTTCGCCCAGACAACTTTAAGGACATATTGTCCAGAGTGGCTGTCCCGCGTTTCTTCGCAACAATGAGAAAAATGGGAGAGGAGTGGAGGTGTATGGTAGCCTAAAAGTCGGTCAGGCGACAAGTCAGTTCGGCTGCTTTGTCCGCATTGAAGTCGACAAAACTGCAACGAAAGCAGCATAAGCTCCTCGGCCGAAGTCCCCTTTCGGGGTGAAGAAAAGTTCCTTATTATTGTTTTCTTATTATTTTTGTTTTCATTTTCTGATTCGGATAATTTGCTTGCACACACAGTCAGTAATATTTTGATCATATGACAAATTTTCATCAAGATACATGTACATAATTTTCTGCATCCAAATTTTTTTTGATACTCTGTTGGTGTTTTTTTTTCAATATCGAGCCTCTTATAATTTGTTACATAGTTGAAGTAGTGTTAGAGCATTTGTGTCTACACTTAGTCTATCTGAAGTGTCACTTTAAAAGCTGTAGTTTGAATATCAAAGAAGTTAATTTTCAGGTTGCTGTTGACAAACTTATTGTTCATTTTTAATTAGCTTTTTTTCAATACAACACAGTAAGTTTTTCTTTATTATTGAGTTGATGTGCATGCCTTTGGCAAAGCTAACATCTGCCTTATCCTCTTGCCTTTTCAAAATCAAAGGTGATGATACTTGTGACAGTAATACAGTACGAGATGTGTACATCAACATGTGCCTCCTACAAATAAAGACTTGTTGTTTTTTTGATACACTGCGGTTCAATTCGTAATAACAGCTCCGTAGTCCTGTGGTTTTAGCAGGATTTTTTTTTGGCAAGTTTTTTTTTTCGCCCTCTCGCATTAGTTTTGGGGTCTTCAGAGGATGTCATCCATAAAATTAAATCAGTGTGGCCTAATGTATACTTCAAATATAAGTGTTGTTATTATGTGGAAGAGCGGGTGTGAGAGCAGATGTAACTGTGCATATGAATGTCTGTTGTGATAAAATTAATAACACATGGTCATCATGCTATCGTTCTGTTGTTCATGACAACACAACACATACTATGAGAAGTATTTTATGTTTATGGTGGCTTGAGAACAACATAACGCTCCAACTGACTCTCCGTTTTGTTTTATCAAAAATTACCACAGCGATTCATGCCTTCAGTTTGTGTTGATTGGAATCTAAGGCAGCTGAGCAAAACTAATACTCACGTTGTACAAATCAGCGGGTTACTTGAACAGGACGACGAAAAAACAGATAAATTAACTTGAAACAAGTGAATCCAGAAATAAAGTAGGCAGAAATAGACGTCACTCGCATTGGAAAAAACAGCGATCCAAACTTAATATGGTACACAACGACTACTCGTAGATGTCGTAACAATATTTACGATCACGCCACAAGCTAAAGAATATAACCACCAGAAAGTTGGATTTACTTCTAGTAATAATATCTTTATTAACGAGAATCTGTGTCCTGTGTCGCGACAGATGATGTGGAAATTTAATACTACAAGACAGGCATCCGACTTTCGTTTCCTATGAACTCAGAATGGCCGTATTTACATCAAGAAAGACCCACAGGCAAGGTTCATTATTATCAAGAATGAAAGTGACATTGCTAAATATTGTCAAATTTAATTCAACATAAAGTTTGTATTTCATATGATTTAAAATGAATTGTGACGATCCGTCTGATATAGATAATATTTTTATGTCAAAAATAATAGCTTACAAACAAACCAATTTAATGAAATATTTAGCCCCATGCAGAATGAGTCATTTTCTGTTTCTCACATAAATGCTCGATTCCTTGCTGGCAATTTTGATAATGTAAATCTTTTCTTAGAAGATTGTATTTCTAACCCTTTTCATGCGGTCGCTGTTTCGGAAACTTGGACTATTGAAAATCGAAACTTATACCAGACTACAAATTATTTTTTGGAGCTGAATTGTAGAAATGATGGTAGAGGTGGCAGAGTAAGTGCATATGCGCATTCTACACTCAGTTATAAAATGTTACATTATACCGTTTCTCATTCAGAATCTTCGTGGTTTGAAATTGTTGGCAAAAAAATCTAGTTGTATTGGGCGTTTTATATTGTAAGCCAGGTACGAGTATTTATGAATTTAAAGACAGTATGCTCAGTGTACTCTCTAGTATTAAGCTTGATAAAAAACACTCTGTACTTATGGGGACTTATCTAAACCAGATTACCCAACCCAAAACTTCTCTCAAAAATGCGTTGTCTCCACTATGAACAATTAATTGATGTCACAACCAGAATAGGTAGCAACTAAAAACAATTGTAAATTAAAATAGTAAACCTTGAATAACTAAGGCTATCAAGAAATCTATATTCCAAATTACAAATTATATGGAATAGTAATTACCAGCGGGCATGAATCAAGTGCAGTTTCTAAGTTTAACTCTTACAGAAATGGTCTAATCAATGTACTGAGGAAGGCAAAAAGCAATTATTATTCTAATTTATTTACTACTTATCAGTATAACACAGACAAAACATAGAATGCTGTGAATGACCTACTGGGAAAGAAACGGGGACCAGACAAGTTACCCGACCTTGAATGTTAACGATAAAGGTAAGGAATATGTTCTAACTGATCCTGCTGATGTGGCACACGGTTCGATGAGTTTTTCGTGAATATTGGTGAAAACCTAGCAAATGCCATCCCCCGAGCCAGCACCGGTTTCCATGACTACCTTGGTCATCAATTGCCAAATTCATTTTCCGTTTAACCAGTGACTAAAATAGAAATAAAAAATACTCTTCTCCGAATAAACAGCAAGACAGCTGGTGGGTGGGATAACTTAGCACCAAGATTTCTTATTGATGCTGCGGATATTAGCAGTTCTTTAGCCCATATTATTAATTGTTCGTTTATATCTGTCATTTTCCCCACTTTACTAAAGGTTGCCAAAGTTATGCCCATTTTCGAAAAAAAGGCGGAAAAGACCAGTTAGAAAATTATAGGCCAGTATCAATTCCACCCCTGTTTAGCAAAGTTATTGAAAGTATTGTCAATGAACAATTCCTGCATATTTAAAAAAGTATGATATCCTGTTCAAGCATGTTTTCCCATTTATATAAATGACCTACCTAATTCTTCAACGTTCTTTTATTTCCGTCTTTTCGCCGATGATTCCAATCCTTTTCATACTTATTCAGGAACAGGTGACATTGATCTTACTCATGTGACATCAGAACTAAATAAAGTGCAATTATGGTGTGATTCAAATAGATTAACGATCAACAGTAAAAAAAACAATTTCATTATTTTCAGGGGGAAAAAGAAACAACTTAGACTGGCTCTGTTAGTATCCGGGAAACTTTTAAAATTACATTTATTGCATAAAAATAATTGATATTTAGCCATTATTCATTTTATTATTTATTTATTTCATTCATTTATTCACTTACTACCTAAAATACACGTCCCTCACATACTCAGTTTTATTTACAAAGGCTGGGCTCAGACTAGCTAGAGCTATTTTCTGAAGCTCCTTTCATCCATTTTCTGTAATTTGTATCATACCAATTATTGTATTTGTTACTTCTTACTTCAGGATGAATAAACGTATTAATATTATATTATTATTAGTAGTAGTAGTATTAGTATTATATATATGAATAAAAAGCTGAAAACCAATTATTATGCAACCATGTAATTAATAATGTAGAAGCCCCGACTAATAATATCAATGTACCAAGTGACTAGTATTATAGATATTGATAGCAAAACCGGAAAATTATGATTGCCGGCCCAATTAGTTTACAGTTTAAATTAATGCTCACTAACAAGTCTGTCAAATTATTTCGTAAAATAAAAGGTTATTGATATCTTTACATATTTTTTTCAATAAACAAATGTTATTAAAAAAAAATAGTGCTAGATTGAAATAGTTACGTCATCCAGTTTATGTAAGCTGGTGTATAACTAACTGATTAATAGACATTTCCTGTGAGAGAAAATACAAAAAAAGAATGCTAATATGAGCATGCTATGTGAACTTCAATTTTTATTATAATTTTCAAAGGTTTAAATAGTGGCGAAGATAACATTAATCTATACTGGTTTAAAGAGAACTAGCACGAATAGTTCCAAACTGTCACTGTCATTATCACTGTCAAAACTCAGGGATAAGCAATGTCGTTTTAAGGCATCAAGCACAACCTTATGTTGAGTTCTCGTAATCTACAAAAGCCATGTTGACAGGAATACCATACTCGTTGGTTTTCATGTATAATATATGCACAAAATTTGAATGAAAACTGACAAAGTACGAATAGGAAAAAAAAGATTGCTAGTAGTGGGTTATTTTACATCTATTCGATAAACCATTGCATTCATGAAATATGAAGCAAAAAATGAACGTTTGTGGTACAGAGAGATATGAAATTATAAACCCACCCTTCGAAATTTGTGCGTAGGGGACTAACACTTACTTTCGAGGCATGTGTACTAGTATACTGATTATACAGGAAGTATTTATTCAATATCAATTGTTATATATTATCATTCTTCTAGTGTGTGAAGATGAAGTTAGCGATAATTGCCATAATTTATGTATAAACTTTTTTCATCAAAGCTACACCAAAACTCTGTTGATCGTCACTCCACTTTTTTTCCACAGCAAATCCAGATTTGTTCATAACATCTTCGAATTGTTCCCAGTTCCATTTTATGCTTAGATTTTCTGGTTCGTGACCATAAATGACCTCCCCTTTATTTAAATGTATCTTCAAATCCAAACGACCTGTACACGAAAAAATAAGTTAGTAGATCAAAAATATTGTATATACATATATACATTGCAGGTTTGATGTGCTACAGACGTAATTCACCACAGAGAAATTTAAACACACAGTATTTAAGCGGTACAATGTTGTTATTCACCTGATTATAATGCCCATTGTTATTTTACTACCACGAAACATTATTTTCAAAAATATTTGGGGGAGGGGGGGGCATCGGTTAGCATTCCTATCATCAATATCTGTAGTCTTATTAACAGATCAAATACATGGCATGACAACATCGCATTCATTGAATCTTGGTTCTGGTTTAAAAATGCTCATATTCTAACAGTGCAAGCATAAAATAATACTTAATTACAGATTGGTATGTATTTTTGTGATGATTCAATCGATAAACATGCCATTTGAAAACATGAATCATATACATGGAACTGACGGAGAAATAGTTCTCACTTATTATCTGATACCCCATAAGATTTGTTTTCACCAAATTATCAAATATATAATGGATACTCACGTAGGTATACGACTTGTTCACATGTGCTCTGAAATCCAATCTTAATATATTGTGGTCTTTTTATGAATGTATCCATATTCTCACTCATAACATATTTTGTGTATATACGAAATTTGTCCATATTGAAATCTGCTCCATATTCTCGGTTTAATCGAGTCAGCAAGTTCGAAATAAAGTTACCAAAGGTAACGTGTGAGTAATTTCTAACTTGCTCGTCTTCGTTTTGTTTAATATCAATGCCAATCAACAGTCTATCATTGCTCCCTGAGAAATTGAATTACAAGGTATTACATTATTGCAGTAAATAGGATACGTGTAGATTGTATTAGATGAAAATCTACTTATGCATTTTATATGATTTGCATAGTCATTTGCATACACATGACAAGATGATGTCTCACAGTATTTTGATATTTTCGATGAGTTCACCCATGACGTGTAATGGCGACAAAATTAACAGAAACAAATAAATTATAATAACTGTACTAACATAACCTATTGATTTATCATACGCCTAGCCCTGTAATCGGTACATTTCGTTGTTTATGTACGATTGATCATTGAAAACAAAAATTTAAAATTCAGAAGTAGTTTACCACCAGGCGCTGTAAGTGGTACCTTTGCTGTCCAATGCGCACAGACTAAAATTCCGTGTGTTTTTTTCTGAATAACCTCATGTTATTTTGAACAATAATAGCGTGTTTCTTACCCATTGCGTCATTTACTTGCTCAAAAACGATTCCATATTGTTCATCGGTATATTACCGAAGCTGTTACCAATGAATAATATCAGCTTTTGCTGATTTAAACCCTTGACATGTTGCAAACCATCGGCGTACAGCCCATGAAACGGTTTCACTTTCAAACCACGGAACTGCTTCATTAATAGGTCTGCGTGGTGTTCCATGAAATCTATTTTAAAAAATGTGACAGTGTTTATTAATCGTCTTATAAATCGAAATCTTTTTTCTTTAGCATGACTGAAAATACAAATATATTGATAATATACAGACAAGGTACCACACCGATGATTAAGTGTAATATCATATGGTGCTGACAGAAACGTATTCGGCCAGTGCATGACAAAGTGCTATATTACAAGATTTGTCATGCAAGTAATGACAATATTAAAAATGTGCCTAAAATAATCTTACAATTACTAGGCCAAAAAAGAATGAATGCTGTTTAGGTAACAGTTTTTGCAGTCTGGTGGTACTATTGGAAAAAACTTGTGAAAGAATAAGAGCAAAACCAATAATAATAAAAATATTGTTCGTGTTTTATCATACACAAGCATATAACACACATATTCAATAGCATATACAACTTGACTGTGCGTTTGTTACGTACTTACTCGCAATAAAAAATGTTTTTCTCATATTTGTAAACGTACCTTTAGCTACATCTATTGGAATATAGGTGATTGATTTATTGTTTTTCAATAACGATGAAAACAGAGGGATGGTTTTATCACCATTTCCAGCACCTAGCTCGCAAACGCTAGCATCTTGCAAATCCGAGACGATTTCATCTGCAATGTTTAAAATCAATATAATGAAACAAAATGTTCTCAGTAGCATGTTTACTATGTAAAACTGAATGCTGAACACAGGTGTCGTTCGTTTTATACTGTGGAAGTGTTTAAATATAATATGTCTTTTCACTCGTTTGTATAATGAACATAACAATGTTTCATTTCATTTTTAATTATGAACATTGATATATATTGGCATACATCATACATTTACTGATAAACTGAAATATAGACATACCCTTGATATATTATTATAAATACTAGCATGAATAGCAATAAGCGATATACTTGCCTGCGTGCTTTTTCAGAATTTCCTTTTCCACACTGTAAAGATGATAGTGTGGATGTTCCAATGTAATTTTCTCAAAAAGCTCAGATCCGATCGTGTCAAAACAGTACCAGTGTTCAACGTACTTTGGCTCAGATAGTAAGCATCTTTTGATAGTTTCTTTATTGGCTTCCATTTTTCTCCTGACATAACAATCATAGTTTATTATTTCTAATATATTATTGTTTTTATCATATTTTTACACGTATTTATCATGTTCAAGGCCTGTAATACCAAACTTCAACAATTTATCAAGTAATAAAACATGATTGACAGTATCAAAGAACTTTGACAGGTCAATACAAATTGCACCTGTCATTTTTCTACTATCTATATTGGAAGGAATATAATTGGATACATCAAGGTGTGGGTTCAGTGGAGTGGGGTGACCTAAAACCAGACTGATTCTCAGATATTAATAGATTTTCACAGCACGTTCTATGGTCTTAGTAACAATAGGTAACACTGATAAGGGACGATAATTATTCATATCAGCCTTACTCCCTTTTTTATAAAGACGTGTTACCTTAGCTATTGTCTATCTATTAGCTGTAACAAAATCAAGCTATCACGTGTATTACATTTTTCGTAGTCATTTTAGTTGCAATACATATTGAATTGTGAAATATATTATGGGAAAATATGTTCGCAATCAACTTAAAATTTGTACTGATTATTAATAATGCATATATAAAAACAGGTGGATGTGACTTTGTAGTAATTGGAAAGCATCAGTTACTATCGCTGTTTTGATATTTAGTTGCACTGGCCTTTGAAATGAAGCAAATAAAAAACTGTTTTAACAACTATTTCAAGTAACACATTCCTAATCGGCTAGTGAGGAATTTGAATCTACGACTTTCAGTATGTCAAAAGAACACACTAACCCCCAGACCACACTACTCTACACTGTAGATCTGGTAAATATGTAAATGTTTTTTTTATGAAAACACACTGTTTAAATTAGTAGCTTACTGTCAATTGAAAACATGCGCATATTAATATAAAACATATGTATTTTCTATGAAAACATTAGTTTTTTTAGTATTTTTGGAAAGATATTTTTTTTAGAGTAATTAAAACACTATTTGATGAAGTTAAGCACATTATAAACACACAAAGATACACATTTCCAATATAAAACACTTGGTGTTTTACGGGGATATAACATTAAATTCAAATACTTCAATTGGAAATCAAGACACTTGGTGCAGTTCTTTGTTTCCCAATGGAGTTTGATATTCCCGGATTTGGTAAACAGTGGCGATGCTTCAAACCACATTACAACAGACGCACATGTTATTTACAATTTTTCTCTAAATGATTCAATTTGAAGCACTTTTGAAACACAATCGCCAATGATGATTTATCCCAAAACACTAGACCTTAAGGTAGAGATGCAGGTTCTTGGGCACTTATTATTCAAACAGTCTTGGCTATAGACTTGAAATTTTGTAGAATTGTGAATAGTGGGAAATACTCAAAAACGATTTTAAGATATAGATAACAGGTGCAAACATTCTCTCTTTTGAATGCTTAGCAAGATTTAGCAAGGCTGTACATAAATAATCAAAAAGAAAGATGGTAAAAAAAGAAATGACGGTATCTCCATATTATGCACTATATTTAACTTTTAACAAAACGATAATACATTTAAATTTGGAACTGTTACAGCCATTTTAATTTATGAGTATTAGCAAACTTCTTACTGAGTGAATTGTTATGTAAATTGGCAATTATCTCAGCTTCTTTTTGTGCACATCCCAGAACTTTAAAAAAAATAGCTCCTAGACGCTTTGACCTTTTGTTTTGAAATTTTCACAAATTATTGACAATGTATTTATCTTCAAAACGCCGTCGGTAGTAGTGAAAGTAGTGAAATTTGAGTTGCTGCCCAGCAAAATTGACAACTGGTAGACAGTTTTCAAGACGGCACTTTTAAATAGATGTACCCCCACACTATTGTCAGCAGGCATACTGTGCATGTTGCGACAAATTTATTGATTTTAGTATTTTAAAAAAATAAACAGATACATATATATTCGACCGTGTGTCTACAATATACGTGTCATAAGTTCAGTTAACAAGTTGAACATACACGATGCAGCGCTGGCCAGGCTTTAATTCCCTGTGATCTAATATATTGATTTTCTATTGGCGGAGCCTCAATGTTGAATGCCATCTAATAATGATTTTTACACACCTGTGCGAATTTGCGCTTAATCTTAATGAGCCCATCTTAGTCTATAGCAATATAAATATAATTATTTCACTATTATTTAGAAATGTCATATATATATTCTGAAAACTAATATTAAACAACAATTTAGGTTGTTACTTTTTTTATGAGACACCTATCGTAAACAAGGTGTTTAAAATGAGCACTATTTGCCTGGTCAAGTAACTGGTAACTTGTGTCATGCACGTAAACAGGTGGCATCCTCGTTCAAGAAGCAATTTGGACAGATTACCTTTTAGATTTACTGAGAAAGACGAGAACAAGAAGATTTCCTAAATAAAATTGAAGGTATGGTGGTATTGTTACTTCATTATAATACGTATGGGAAATGTAATTGTTAGAGCCAACATATACAGCTGCGTACTGCATATTCATTTGCAGCGGCCTCCAATTATTTAATTATGTACGGGTGTTACGGTACTTTTACAGGATCAGAGAACTGCATGCAATTCCTTTAAATAAATTCTTGCCGACATCCCTAGAAGTCAGATTTGAGTTTAAAACTAATGAGTTTTATTGAAATGTGATTAGAACAAACAAATTATGAATTATTATGCGAATTATGAATCAATATGAAATTTTAACCCCAAACTAATCAGGTTTGTACATTGTCCTAGAGCAACTTTGTACTAAGTTTCATTGAAATGGAATAATCAGAACTTTAGATATCAGTGTGATAGCTTAGAATTGGTTAATTATGCAAATTAGGTAATTGATATGTACAGATTTTAACCCACAATTAATCAGGTCTGTTTATTGTCTTACAGCATCCATGTACAAAGTTTCATTGACATGTGATGATTAGTACTTGAGATACCAGTGTGAAAGTTGAAAACTAATTGGGTCCCTGCATAGTGTAGATTCATTGAAATGTGATGATTACTGGAGATAATCAGTTGAAAAGCTGAACATTAATTAATTAATTATGCAATTATTATGAACAATTATTTACCCTGAAACTAATCAGGTCTCTGCATAGTCTTTGAGTATCTATGTTCCAAGTTTCATTGAAATTTAATGCTTATTACTTGAAATATTAAAAGCTGAAAATTAATTATACAAATTAGGTAATTAATATGTACTGATATTACCCTAGAACTATCAAACTAAAGTTTCATTGAAATGTGATTAGTACTTGAGGTATCAGTGGGAAAAAAGAACACTTACTAATTGTTATGCAAATTAGGTAATTAATATGCACGGACTTTTACCAAATAACTAATCAAATCTGCGCATAAGTTCAGAGCATCTATGTACCAAGTTTCGTCGAAATCCAATGAGTGGTTGTTTAGATATCAGTGGAGCAGTCATGAAACAGCTAAAAATTAGCTAATTATCATGCAAATTAGGTAAATAATATGTACATATTTTTACCAAAAACTAATTAATCTGCGCACCGGCACAGAGCATCAAAAACCGATGTAATGTTCTTGAGATAGCAGTGGAACAGACGGACACACACGCATACACACAAACTAACTGCAAAGACTTCCATTGTGTGCTTCGCACATGGAAGTCAAAAATGCATGTGTAGCGTGCCCTTCTTTCACTAATAAACGTTTTTGTAGAACAGCTTCTGTGCTCACAGAATGGTCGTTGCGATGGGTTAAGGGAACGGATGTTCCACTTACTGAGAGATCTCAGGCTATGTGGTGTACCATACGTATTATTGACAAAGAAAATACATGTGTCCAAGTAAGTTGTTAAGCGGCTCATTGTAAACTACCAATTACATGAATTAAAATAAAAATAAAAATCGTACCAAAATATATTTCACCCGTTCAACAGTGTGCAAAGAAATAAAAATGTTCTCCTGGAAAATCTCTCCCTCCCACAGACATATACGATATTTCCCCGCTCACTCTCAAAACCTCGCTGGAACAGCTTTTTACAGGAAATCTTTCGTTGACTGCTTCCGTACAATATACGTTCTCGTATTATTGCATCTTTAAGCATTTTTGAAATTCAAAGAAGAGACTAATGTGAGATGTGTTTGATTTGACTTATATTACAAAAAGAGCCTCATTGCACTATGTTTTTTTTCCGTTTTTTAAAGCACCAAGAAAATCAGATTAATGAAAAACCTCTAGTGTAATAGGAAAACCAGGCTCAATGATTCTGGGTTGAGTGAAGCGGAACCCTGTTCTTCAAACCCCCTGATATTTTGCACTAACCTAAGAAGATATTCAAAAACAAATATTACGATTTGGGCTGCGCCCACTTTTCTTTAAATCAACAACAGGAAAATCGAAAATTCACACAACAACACACGATTTGAAATCGTGCACACAACGTCAGTTCGAAATGTCTGTAATGAACACGACCAACACAAACCATGAAGAGTATTTTAAGTATTGTCATTGCTGAATCCATACATTTCATCATGCTGTATGCCGGCGGTGTTAGTTACCACGTGGCCACCCGCCACAATACCTCATAGACAAGTTTGTAACACCCCTTTATTGTCCAATCACAACATGCGCGTTGAGCCACGTGCTACGTCGAATAATTTGATAATGTTTGTAAATAGTCGTCAATCACCAATGACAATCACATGTTTCACTTTGGGATCTATCATTTGAAATCATGAAGGTGGAAAAAAATCGGGCAAGTTGTTGTAGAGAAAAAATGTTTGGACACTCAAGAAAAATACAAACGCACATTTAGACAGCTTAGAAAATCAGTGGACACACACTTCCAGCTATTCCCATGATTTCAAATTATTGGCCCTACCTCCGTTAGCTTTATCATCATTACACTATGCACATGGTAAGCCTGGTATTTAGTCCGTACCGCTCATGTTTAGACCACGTTGGGAACAGTTATGTTAACCAGCAGAGACATTTGATTGGGGAAATGTTTTTTTTTTAATTACAGGCAAATAACTAACATGCAAC